TCTCTCTCTCTCTCTCTCTCTCTCTCTCTCTCTCTCTCTATCTATCTATCTATCTATCTATCTATCTAGTACATACCCCCCACCCCAAACACACATAAATCTCACTTGAAGCTTACTCTCCTTCAACCAATATAATGCATTCTCCACTCACTCTGATTACCTGATCGTGCATATCCCACTTGACGAAGGAATAAGATCTACAGCTCATAATTCATCCTAAAACTCTCGTCCCAAAATTCGTCCCCCAAGCCCATACTATTAAAGTGCTGTTGGATAAACAGCTACGTCAAATGCATTTTGACATTTTGATAAAGTATGCACTATAATATTAGTATAGGCTTATGATTACTTAAAAGATTAGTCACCGAAGTCAACGTGACGGGAATGCCGGAAAAGTAGGCTAGCTTTTTGTTGTTGTTGTTGCCTATAATGATATGTGAAGCGCGCGAACTAAATGAATTACTTCTCAGATTCAAACGCTTTGGAAATAGATACATCACGCTTATGGGTTAAGTTTTTGCAATTTATAAGCATAAACAAAATAAAAGACGTGTTATACTTAAAGAATATGACATCAATATAAAATCTACAAATTTCACCCAAGTGTCGATTTTTGGCCAATATCTCCATTTGTAGATTACGAAAAGTAACTCATTTTGTCAGCACGCCTCACAAGTAAAATCGGGGTTTCCAAATGCTGCAAACATTTTTATTCCAACAGGGAAATACCCTCTCTGTTTGACTTTGTTTTAGTTTTAGCACTCGTGAGACGACAGATGATAGCTATTTAGAAGTTTTTGAAGTGCGATTAGAAGTTAAAGTGATGTCTTTAGCCTACATAACTTTTTTTTGTTGTAACTTGTGATTATTCGGTCCTTGAACTGTCCATTATTTGTGTAGGAGGAATGTTAAGGATAAATGTAAAGTTATCTTTGTACGGTCTATTTAAACCTTTTGTATGTTGCACTTTGTACTTGGCCTGTGTTTAAAGCCCAACCTCATAATTCCAAGAAGAGGGAAATTGAAGATAATACATTCGTTGTGTGTGCTTGTCTCTGTGTGTGTGTGTGTGTGTGTGTGTGTGCGCGCGTGTGTGTGTGTGTGTGTTTGTGTGTGTATGTGTGTGTGTGTTTGTGTGTGTGTATGTTTGTGTGTGTGTGTGTTGTTTATTTTGTCTGTCTGTCTGTCTGTCTGTCTGTCTGTCTGTCTGTCTGTCTGTCTGTTTGTCTGTCTGTCCCCCCCCTCTCT